GCATCCCAAGCTTTACCATTGTAATTTTGATACACACAGGTCATAAAACAGCACCACGTCACTGCATTAAAAAATCCATCAACACGAGATTGGCCATTCAAGTGAGAGTAAATGTGGAGACCGACAGCTGGGTAACTCAATCCTTGCCAACGTACTGCGATTATCCGTAATTTTACGTCTGAAACCAGACGGGTATCCATTATAACACGGGTATCTCGCGTCGTAACAGCCGAGGCATTTACAGCAATGAGCACAGCTCAGCAATTTTTTTTACCGATGCTGCGGGGATGACCACCGCGGCAACTGGGGATTCATGGGGCTTAAGTTGTGGCACCACTTCCTCCGACCAATTTAATGACAATATCGGCGTCCGAACTCGCAGCGCCGATTTCGAAACAGCGACATCTTTTCGCCATGCTGAAGTCACCGAAGCACACCTCCGTGGTTAAGGGGAGCATCCCACCTGCATACTTTCATTTGCACATGCACCATGCATCGCCTGCACTAACATCAGGCGATTTGATGCAAAACCATCCGATGACTTGACGTTTGAATATGTCAGTAAAACCAGTCTTATCTAACTGCCCCTGAAAAGCCCAGATTTTCTATTCGGTGTAGCAGATCCCGCAGGGCAATCACATTTAACTCCCTGCTCACCACTGAAAATATTACGTTTTATTCGACTTGCTACTTCCCAACGTGTGCTCCAGTGTTTGCAACACACGGCGTTGAAACGTTTCTGCAATAAACGGTACGAAAGCTTCGACATAACCTGATCAGACAAAAATATCCCGGCAGACCGTGTGGCGTTTACCAGTGGCTTATTGAGGTGCACAATGCCTTTAGAAATAGGAGTATCACATGATCTACCTGGCGCACTACTTCAAATTTCAACTAATCAACTCCTAGGTAACAGACCCTTGCGCGCTGGGCCGCCCGAGAGAGTCCTATCCACAACAGTAAAGGTGCGCACGGCGGCTGCCATGACAATCGCCGCCAGTGCAGGGAATACGTGCAGCATCACTGGTGAGGCTAGCGGCTAATACTTTGTCATGACGGTAGTGCGGCTGCAGGGAAGAAGGAAAGTAGCACCGAGTAGCGCTGTTGCGGAGCGTTGACAGCGTAACTTGGGCTCGAAAATTATTCAAATTGATATTCTCATGCATTGACAGTGCTGCAGTGACATCATCCAGTGGCATTAAATCGACTGGTCCTGAGGTTTCACTAGAGTATGATTTTGAAATACGCCCCAAAAGGCGGGAACACTTTCTACCAGGCTTACCCGGGCTGCTCATGCATGTGGGCTTGGTTTCATGTGTCGCCGAATGCCTTTCTGCTAGCACACTCTGGGCATAGCAGTTCCAGAAGGCTATTAATTAGGTAATGAGGAGGGGATAGATGTTGCATCACCATCTCCCCGTTTGCCAAGAGATGCACTCCAAATATCAGGTAGTTTTGTCAGATTTGAATCCCATTGCCACAGGAGCTAAAAGAGGCATCGGTCCTTTTAGTGGACAATTTGGTCTATTTGCTGATGATAGTAACCCTATTGTAATAGTAACAGCTCTGGAGGTGTTATTCTGCAGCGCTCATTCGTATTGTAGTTCGATTGTGGCCGCACAGTCGTAAACAGCAACGTAATGTGGCGGTGCTTGGAAAAACACAAGAAGCTAGAATCGCTTTTGAACTAGGGTGGGAGTGAAGAATTCCATCGCAAAAGGACTGTGCAGTGAAAGTGAAAAAATCAGTTCACAAAAGATGGAACTTACAAGCTCGTGACTGACGCTTCAGTAAACAAAGACATCTGTTTCAAGTTCGCATGGCCGTAATATCATAAACCTGACAAAACTGTTTGTTTTTTTAATATCTTAGGCCATTGAAGTGAAACAGAATACAGTAAAGCACGGTAATTTCATAAGCATAACAAATTATTAACACCAATAATTTAATGCTGCACTTTGCACTTCCATTCCACAGCACTTTTAACACAAAACATCGCAAATGAATTAAATAACAGCATAACAACAGAAAATTAAACAAGCATAAAACACTCAAACAAAAAAAAAAACCTTGGACTCATGCACATCAGCCCATCACCGCGTCAAATACACTGGACATGCCTGTGGCGTCTGTTCAGATGGGGTCAGGGAACACAAAAATTTTGTCACTGGTTCTTACAAAATACCAATGCTTATTTCCATGGAAGTAGCCTAACTATGCGTAGCATAGAGACCTAATTTTATCTCTCCCTGTTTAACCTGTTTGTATCACAGCAGCAGTTGTGAGCTACTTATTCTTGCACAATTTCCATTACCGCTTGTCATGCACTTAACCAACTCAACCTAACTTAGAGTAGCCCTATGTCGAGCATCATCTCAACCCGCCTATCTGTTGGCGGCAGCACTTCTGATAAAAACATGATAAAGCTAATTTTTGACTGGTTTCAGCTTGCATTTTTATTCGGTTCATTTGTGTATGCTTTTGACATCGGACAAAGTTGACAACACATAAATCAAAACACTTCAAATCACTTCGAACAACTTATTTTGATTGCCTTAGTTAACCTGTCGAGAGCAATAATGAGTATGATCCACAAAACAATCTCTCTTCTCCAAAAGTAATGTAACTTTTAGATGACCATGCCAGTATTGTTGCTTGTCTTTTCAGCTGCAGCAAAGGCATCTATTTAGGCTTGCTTACTCATAGTTAATGATAAAGTCTGAGATGTTGGGGTCACATTTTAAATGGATGGTCTCATTAGTTGTTATATACTAATATTTAGCTCATATTATCATTGCTATGCAGCTTAGAGTATCCCTGTGTTAAAAATATAGTGCATATATACCGTACAGTCATTTGCCAGCCAGCAAACCATGACAACTATAGAGAACAACTGGTTGAAGCAGTCATGAGAGCCCGCCTCAAGAAATTTGGGGCAAATAATCAAGAATATGGAACAAAATAAGTCCATCGCATGCCTTGCGGCATCATGATTTGTCTTATGACAAAACTCGATGGATTAAAACAGAAAATGGCTAACTGGTTACCAATCATGTCCTGAAAGCAGGCAAGGTAAGCGATCACATGGTCCACAGGGGACTTACTGGCTTCTTCCTGTTCCCCCAAAACAAAAAAGTACCTTTTGCATGGTCTCCCGGCAGACGTCATCCCACTCACCCCCCCCCCCCCCCCCAAATATAAATGTCAATTATGCCCACCAACCTACCAGATCAAAATGCGAAACAAGTAAGAGGTGTGCATGACAAACATTTCCAGAGAGCAGAATTTCACCGTCAAACACTTCCGTATTAGCTGCGTCAGGTCTGTCCCAAAGCGCTGTGTGGCAGCATTAGGATAGCGTTGTCAGGTAGCCTGGTGAGTTAGACACTCGAAAGGCTTATATTTATCATTATTGAGCACCGCCATGAACCAAGAAAACGGTTAACTGGGGGTTTACCAGGGCAAAAAGGGCGGTGAAAGTAAGCTCAGTGCTTCAAATTGTCTCCTTCATTCCCTGTGAGTTGTTCACTCTTGGGTGCGTATCAAACATGTTTGGGCGGCTGGTGAATTAATTCAATTAATGTATGAAATACAAATTTGCAGTTCGAGCATCTTGCAGAGAAATTGGTCAACATTTTGAGCAGCAGTCGATACCTTTAAAGGCAATGGAAAAGGAAGGAAGAACAAAGTGGTATCACACTCGCATGGTACCAAGAAAAACAAAAGCAGTTAAATAGATATAAGGACCGATACTTTTCTAAAATTTTGTTATGAGCTTTTTTTATTTAAAGATTTTATTTGATTCAGCAGATTTGACTTAAAATTTGCTAACATGAGTGCGCAAATGGTGACATTCATCCTGTAAATGTAATTTAGAAGACATATCTTGAATTTTTCACTCCTGCATTTCGGGAGTGATGTCATTCAGTTGTCAAGCTTCTTCGGGCAAACATAAATACGTTGAGTAAAATTCTCTACTAGGCCTTATGGTGTTTGCGCCAGGCTCTGCTTTCGTGGCGTGGCGGTGAGACCAAAAAAAATAGGGGATGCGTGAAAACCTTGCATTGGTACACAGGTGCCGATTGTGACGCATTTTGTAAACAAACCAAACTTAAAGCGGCTGGATTCGCTGGGGTTCTTGGGCTTGGAGGTACCTGGCGCCCTTGCTCTGTGCATACATGGACATGATTCAGATGTCGGTGAGGCAGGACATAGCTATAGGTGTCATGTGTGACTAGACAACGTCAGGCAGGAGTGAAAAATTCACCTAAAATATGTGGAAAAGGAGTGAAAAATCCCTCCTCATAGGGTATTGCTTTATACCCAAAGTCGGCAATTCTAGGACACTGGAAAAATACGCAGTCACACAGTCACTTCTGTAATACCTGTAATCAGTATTTGTGTTGTGTTTGCTCGACAACTACCCTTGTGGCTTTTCAAGTTTTGGCTCGTTATAACGTTCGCTTGCTTCGGGTCGTGACATCACTTACTCGTTTCAACACACTACAAAAAATGTCATGAAAAGCGATGCTACGAAATTAACTAATAAAAATCGTACTACGAACTGGCTATAAAACATGGTGATGTAAAAGAGGATGCGATAAAATGCGGAGCCATAAAATGCGTGCGAAGTCGGAACGGTGCATCCAATAACTGAGCAAGTCGCCAACAGTGTGCCAAACATAGCATACACGCACTCAAAGATGAACGCATATTCATTATAAGCGCATGGGATCCGCTGACTTTCAACGATCACACACGTACATGTATGTATATATATATATATATATATATATATATATATATATATATATATATATATATATATATATATATGTATGTATGACATATAAGCACACAGGTAATTAGCATGGGGTTCAAACTGAGGCGCATGACCTAAACACCTGCGTTTAAAAATGCAAGTTTTTGGATTGTTCAAAAGTCAGAGGTGAGCACATAGTGGTGGTCGGACGGAGGCGGTTCCAAGCTGCCACGGCACGATGAGGAAAGGCTCGCTTAGTGGCTTCCAGCGGGCGCCCGGGAAGGTGGGGAGATCTTGGCATAGAGGAGCGCGTCTCCCTTAGTGAAACGGAGAAACGTGGCTTAAAAAGAAACTGGACAGCGGGAGGCGATTCTTTCCTCGCCCTCGCCTTTCACCAAGTCATCAATCCGGGGCCAACTGAGAGATTCCATAGTCGGTGCTGTATGCCCGCTGCGCGTTGTGCCAGGGACAATCCTGGCGGCAAAATTTATGAGTTCTTGCATCTGTTTGCACCTGACAATTGATCGCGCTATCTCATACGCATGGATAACGACATTTAGGTGGGAGAACGTAGGCCCCCATAATGATTTTGAGAACATAATTTATAAAGTAATGTCTGAGGCGGTACAGCGAGTTAAGAATTTCTCTGCATATGTGCACGAATGCGGCGACATGCTTTTCCCACGAAAGCGTCGAGTCTGCGATCACAGCGAGAAATTTGGCGTCCCGTGAAGGTGAAATAGCTTCTCCATCTGTCGTAACGTAAAAGTAGCATATTTTCTTTAAAGAAAATGCTTCATATTTGAAGATATGGAAGCAAGCATCGGATGTGACGACACAAGCTTACTTATAGCTATACGTTTTAAGTGGGAAAGGCTGTTCTACGCAGCACAGTTTTCTGTTTAGTAACTATGCTTGTCGATATGTGTCATGGTTTGATTACGTCATCGTATCTTGCACAACATTGATTGAGAGCCAGTTGACGGCCGTTATACCTGGAAATCGCGCCCACAGGCGCCAGATATGAACGCCTCGGCAATCACATCTTTACTGGCCTCAATCACCGAATAGCTTATGGAATAGCAAGATTTGAATGGCGTTATTATGACGTCATGAGTACTAGGGTGACTGATTTGCTCTCCCCGATATACCTTTTGTCATTTTCGCGGGTGTGTAGCTCAAAAACTAGAGCAGCTTGGAAGAAGGGCAGGATTGCGAACAGCACCGAAAGGTCGTTAAAATGGCCATTTCGGTTCAAAACCCCACGTGAATGTGGAACACTCCATTTAAGTTATGTTTTCCACCTATCGGAAGAAAGTCGATTTCCGCCTTGTTGATTTTCAGTGAGTTTGCTTTCAGCCAAGCCGAAAGTTCGCAAATTGATATTTCCAGACGGTGTTTTGGTGCCTCGAGTCCGCTTGCAGGGAGGAGCGTGATCCAACAGTTCAGTGTCATCTGCATACGACATGAGGCGTCCATGAGACGGGTGACTGCCACATGTCGCCTCGCATATGCGATTGCCCTCACGGGCAAGCCCCAATTTATCGTATTCAGCACTTAGCACTTAGCACAGCCATTTGTGGTATCGTGTTTTATGCTATCCTATTTTACAGCCTAGTTTGTAGTGTCGCATCTATATGTTGCATAGCATCGCATTTTGTTTTTATTTTTGTAATGGGTTGCAACCATGCTTGCGTTCGAATCAGACTGTTTAGTCGGCCCAGGACTGGTTCACAGATTTTGGGATCCGATTCAGCTCACGATTCATGGCTGATCCAAAGTTTTATTCGACTCAGTCCAGACGCATTGTTTGCATTGAGTCGTTTGGCTCACGACTCACGGAGCTTGCAAAGCAAACATTGCCAAAACCCAACTGGCTCTCGGCCATGGAGATAAGTTTAGATCCGGATCTACAATATTGTGTCTGCTGCTTATATATACATATATATGCACTCCTTGCTAAGTACATCATAGCATGGACAATAGTTCCAAATAGTTACAGAAAGCCCAGCAGCAAGTTTGTAGTTTGAGCATGCCAAGCAGGGGGTCATCATCGCAGCTTGAGAAATCGGTCGGGCTGGCGGCTCGTTAACGTTAGGCGGTGAACGCGGACTGCGTCAATTGGAAAACAGTAGTCACGCAGAAATGTTGTGGTCTCATTTACTATCGTGCAGTGTGATATCAAGTCTGTGTTGTTGCATCGCCTCGGTGCGTGCTATTATGTCGCAGATGTAAGAAATTCGAAGTGGCGTGTAAGGTTCTGGCAGAAGTTGGCATCAAAGACAGTTTTTTTGCAGCAAGGTGCCATCCTGTGCAGTGGCTTCCTGCAAGAATACTAAACGGCACAGTAAAGGCATTTCGTTTTTACGTTTCCAAAAAACCATCCAACTGTCTTAAAAACATGGGTTCACCGTTGCGCTAGGGCTGACACCATAAATGTGGAAAATGCGGTAATCTGCTCGGCTTATTTTCAAGATCATGACTATGACCCGGGCTATCTGGTTAAGGCCAGTCTCATGCCCAATGTAAAACCACGCCCGCGACCAGTGCGGTTCCTTCAATGCAACTGGACATCGCCGGCACGCCGAAGTGAGTGTGCTTTGCTTAAAGAGAAAATGCCCGTCTGTTTTATGCAGAAATCTTTTTAAGCCCAATTTACCGTCACTAATGCGTGCATAATCTAAGCCGCTCTGTGCGGTGTGTTGATTTCAATTCAAGATTCAAACGAAACTTTCCAACCATAATCTTGTTTGCAAAGTGGGGTCTAACTACCACACAAGTGGCAGCGCCATCCATGGTACACGGGCGAAGGGGGTGAGGGTGGGGGGCGCAGCCGGTGTTTGCGACGAGGGGGGAGGGAGATCAAGTTTGTATGAGCGAGTCCTAACTCCGTTGACAGTACATCTACGCACTGTGAACTTACTAACACACCCCACAACCGCGAAAAAGGGCAGTGGCTCAGCGCATCGATGAGCTTCCGATATTGGTTTGGCCTGGTACCTTAGTTCTTTCAGCTGCGTACCGTATGTGTTCACTTAGCTATATGCGAGCCTCGTTACTAATCAACCGCTTTTGCGCCTTTCGTGTTACTGTCCATGGTAGTGTTTGAGATTTCCAATAAAACTTTTCGCGGTCGCCAAATTCCGGGATTACATACTGTATCATCGTGGTAAAAAACTGGCCATTGACACGTTCTTAGAGCGGTACCACAATAATGATCCTCAGAATATTATCGGTGTGTGTATCTTTTGCGATTGCAAATATTTTTTTTACATTGGAACTGGAAAAGCAAATCACTAAGTTGCTCAGTGCATGTGCGAAGAGCATATTCACATAGATAGGGCACTAAAAATAGCTTTATTCCTCGCAGAAAAGTAGGAAAGTGGAGACATAGATCCGTTATTATTTCGGCAACATGCCTTTATCGAAACATGCCATGCCTTCATGCGACGGCATTTGGGTCACGGTGCAGCGAGCCGTGACCCGAGAGGGGCTAACTCCTAATATTACCGGCCACATTTTTTTAGCCAGGGAGTGTACGAATTTTGCATCAAGAAAATGGCCTCCTGTATCTGGTTCTTTCATATCGAAGCAACAGAGGTCGCAGCCGTGGACGAGAAGCTCGCTGCACGGCTCGCGTTGCTGCACGGTGACAGTGATTTACTGCTCTTCCCAGGCTTCCGGACAAAGCGCCCAGAGAGTGCGACTGGCGACGCAGCTGTTCTCCCAGTCTGTGGGGATCGGCATCGCCACCTATCTTCCTCGCCGTGGGGCGCAGGCCGAGGCAGTACTCACCACCGCCCGGTGGTTCGACATCAACAACAGCCGCACGCCTCACGACGCGAAGCCGGAGCGCTGCGGCTACGGCATCACGCTGGCAGCAAAGGTGGCGCAGGACGGGGCCCTGGCGGAGGTGGAGAAGCTGGTGCATGGGATGCGGAAGTTTACACCAAGGCATCCTGACGGCCGCGTGGCGCTACTCCCCTTCCAAAAGGGACATACTGCGGAGCATAACGTCGCTCCGCGGCCTGTACGAAGAGCTCCAGCGAACAACTCCCGCCTTAGGGTACATTCTGACATCACATCTTAATCAGGATTGCTTGGAGAATTGCTTTTCACAGATCCGTGCTCTTGGTGGCACCAACACGGCACCTGACGCGGTGGGGGCGCGATGGAGGACACGAGCGCTGCTGATGGCGCCATCTCCAATGGTAGTTGCCAACAGGCAAGGCCGCGCCGTTCAACTGGAGCCAGTCACAGCTTTCCTTAGCACAGGCTAGCGTCTGGACCAATCAAACAACCTGACAAACGAAACTCTGCAGGGTCTCCAGATCCAGGTAGCATTGCTGACCATTGTCTGGATGCATTACCATTGTTTTCCGATAATGATAAAATATGTCACTGAATTCCAGGAGTACTAATGCAAAGGAACGGAGCTCACTACATAGAACACGGAGAGTCTGTCGGAACGCTGGGTGGATCCGCATGCAATATTTCGGTATGATTATTTGTGCCTGATCCCTAATTGGCCCGGTTTGATCGCACGTTTAAATGTCACGTACAAAACATAATGCAGCGCAGCGCAGTGCTCGTCGGCCGTTGACCGTCCTTCCTATGCGCTCGGATTACGTCACGCTGGACCACAAAAAAACGTTGGTGTATAAGAACAAGGATGCGATAACAAAAGAATGGACATGTCTGGGTCCAAGGCGCTTTGTTGGCGCAATGGCAAACAAAACTACTGACTTGTAATAGGGTCTGATTAATGCACCTGTCAGGTACTTCGAAATGACTGCGTTTCGTTGTGTCGCAGATCCAAGATCCAGCTGTGGTGGAAGCGGCAGCGCATGCGGACGACGTAGAGGCCGCATGCCAACAAGCAGCTGCGATTCCCCCAGGGCCCGTCCTGGAAGAATTCGAAGAGGACGACGAGGTTAACTAGTCGGGCGAACGCAAGCTCCATGGCGGTGACGGGGAAAGAACCGAAAATGGCCACCGCTGCGGCGCCGACACGGACGAGGTCAACATCGAGCACGAGGCGCTGGCCTTCGTTGCCGGCTTCGTGGCAGCCAAGTGCAAGCGCTTCGATCCAAGCATGGGATTGTCGATCCGAGAAGCACCACCCAGCTGTGTGCCAGACGCCTGGATACGCGCGATTAGTCGGGGTGGCCTGGTGGTACCGTCGCCAGCCTGGATGAGCGTTGTCGAGGCTTTCGAGGTCGTTTTCCAGCTAGTGATGGGCCGAGGCATGGACCGAGACATTGGTATTGTCGACCGTCTCACTAAGCTTCTGCTGAAAAAGTTTTCTGCGTTGGACAAGCGGATCGCACGGAAGCTGGTGACGACGGCATCCATTTCCGCCTCAGATGGCTCGATCAAGCTAGGGCTGAGCGGGCTGCTGCCAGGCGCGCAGCCAAACAGGTGCGACTGCGCGTGGACAGCACGATGTGAGCATCGTTGTGCTTACGTGAACATACATTGATGAGCTTGAATGAGCACCGTTGTGCCTTCTTTTTTTGGTTCGTATGCTTGTGTGTCCGAGACATAGACGGCTCTTTCGCAGAGAACCATTTGGGCTGTTTTAGACGGGTTATCTTGTCGCGCATTTCTAGAGTTAAGCTGAAAGTCTATACTTGTGTTCTCCGCCCTCCACCCGCCCCCCTGTTTGCTTTATGTATTCGCCAAGTGTGCACAACAGGAGTGCATGTTGTGCGCAAGAATTGCTTTAAATAAGGGACGGTTAATTAGGAGTCATACGTGTGTACGATGGATTGGCAGGGTGGCGTGACTGATCTGATATTGATAAATGCCACGCGCCTCGACCTTCCGAGGCTTCATAGTGCGGTTGACGCAATATGCGATGTCCACAATGTCCTATGTTCTTCCAGGCAGCACACCACTTCCGTCGTCTCAAACTGCCTCCATCGCACACCAATGCAACCCGGCGCGTCATTATGTATAGTGCTGAGGTTCAACGCGACAGTTCGGATGATGATCCTGGTACCGCATAGTTCCTCCTTTGGCAGTGGCTGGACCTTGAGCAGGTTCGCCAGCCCGGATTTGAGCAGTTGTGGGCTGGCCAATTTCAATGCATCACCATAGACTCAATGTTAGGCATCACAAGCAAGTGGGAGTGGCATGGCACATGGGCTCCCGGTTCCTAGGCCTATGTTCGCTGTTATAAACCCAGCGTGGCGACAAATCCCTCTCCCATATTTCCTCATCGCACTTGTTGAAATGCCCTGCGGCAATCACCAGATGCATTTGGTCGTAGGTACACCGGTGTGACACGCGAAGGTAATGCAGGCGGGGCGGCGATGCTAGGCTGCGACTTTGTGACGTCACTATAATGGTGAGGAAAAAGTGCGGGAAAAATCCCCGGATGATCATACCTTATTACACGGCCTTGGTACCAAGTACAGTGCAGCAAACAATACTTTTTCTGTGACCTGTTACGAAATAGCTCCCTCAAACCTCAGCTATAAGGCTAGCATATTTTACCTGGCACCCATCACCCAGACCCACTAGTTACATAGCACCGGGTGTGTACTAGACTGCACTTAACCTGACATTTGGCAGTCTGCACCTGCCGAGCGCCAGCGAAGTATATTCACACGGAGGTTTTCTCATTTCTACTAGCCAGTGCTACCCATATCGTCGGCGATGGTATGTCAGCTATTCAACATCGGGTTGCAGTTTTTGCAAAAGTGGTGAGCTAGCATCAGTTACAAACATAAGGTGAACTTGTCTGCTCACCTGGACTTATTAAGTATTACGAATTACAGCTGTATTTCTCAGAAACCTAACAAACAATCCCAGCAAAAATCCTCTTCATTCGACCCACGTCTTTCAGTCAGCAAGGCACTGTGCTGAACTGAGCTCTGAACAACTGAACTAGAGATTCGCTAACGTAGGCGCCGACCGTTGTCTCCACCGCGATACCTCGACCTCATCCCGTCAGGTCACTATGATGGGTTAGGGGTCAAAACAGTTTTCCCCGCTGCGTAGAAATGAGTGCTGCACGCCAATTTTTCCGCATTCCGAGACTGCTTAATTTGGTGACGATATTCTCAAAAAGTCGTGTGTTGCGTGGACATAATTATTGGCAATATCCCTGTGAGGTCATGAGCGAGATGTAATGCGCGGATGGGGCAAGACTGCCTCGCTGTTTATTTCATAAAACTCCAGCAAAAGCATGCTTACGGCAGTAACGTAGTGGTGAATGAAAGGTCAGGTATGGCTTGCTTCATTGTTGTGACAAGTGACGAATACAAATATGACCATCTCTTTGATCTAATGTGTGGTAGGCAATCTTTCGCTGATTTCGGGGTAGGATATAGGGATGAAGGATGTCTGTACCATGTAATATCATCTGGTTCCTGGTCGGAATTTGGCAAATTTAAGTTCAGGATCAAGGATATTGTGTTTGCTGCTTAGAAATAAGGTAAGTTGTTCAGTGCATTAGCGAGTAACATTGTTCGCATAGATAAGGCTGGTATTAGCCTTATTCCTCGAAAGGAAAAAAACAGGAGAAAAACCCAAATGTATATCCACTCTCTTGGTTTTTTCCGAGGAATAAGGCTAATTCTGCTGTCTTAGCTTAGAAATTACGATAGCAAACCTTGGGCCGATTTTGAGTAATGCTGCACGCTGTTCTTTTTAATACTCTGAAGTGGTCTATTTGTATTGGGTGTACTGTGTATCCTTATGTTACCATTTTCGTTTGAGCCGTGCGACTCACTGACGCAACATTGTCTGTGATGAGTGACTCACGATTCAGCTCATTAAATTTACAAAAGGGTGATTCAGCATATGACTCAGTGACATCTGTTCCACTGAATCGACTCAGCCCATGACTCACCCCAAAATGGCGGACTCATGAGTCGATTCATGACCCAGGCCGATTCGAGCACAGGTCAGATCGTAACGAGTGAGTGACGTAGCGATCTGAAGCTAGCGAACGTCGCGTCGTAGGCTGCTTGTGCATGCGCATAATTAAAGCATACGCTGAGCATAAACCTGCCGTCCAGCGGTGATAGATATTTTCGAATACGGCGAAAGTCACCGTACCAGATCACAAGACCTGCATCGGTCCCAGATTTGCATTCCGAGTCCCCGATCTGAGGGACGCACCCCGGCTGATCCGCCGGTTCCATCAGGTGAGCTCAGGCTCAATACAGACGACGAGGAGGCACATCGATTGGCCTCGGTCTCAGCGGCGTCGGTCCTGCGGGCAGGTGACCACGGCGCTCCGAGCGCGCTGGACGTCACCCGACCCGCCGTAGGGCACGGGCCCCGCGGGCGACGCGCACCAGTGGGCGTGGCCTGTGCGTGGGGGCGGGCCGCGACATCGGCCGCCGACGCCACTATAAAGCGGCCTCTGGCCATGGACTTCGGCCGGATTGGCGTGCTTCGGTTCCGCTGGACGGAGGCGGCCACAGCGCAGCGGGCCACCATGGGCGGCACGGCGCCGAACGCGCCGTCCACGCCCACCACCCCCAGCCCGGCCGACGCCGGCGCCGTCCACCGCCAGCGCCTGGCCATCAAGAAGAGCTACAGCATCGAGGTGGGCCCGACTGGCGCGCTCGCGTCATTTAGAGCGCCAGCCTCCCCTCAAACAGCGACCATGTCTCTGGTGGGCGTATGTAGTCATGGTTATGGGCGTCACTTCTTATACTTCGGGGGAGAGGCTGAACCCACGTCCCCCTATGCACTGTTGCTTTCTCCCCCTCAACGCTTCACTGCGCTCCATCAGTGTATGTGACCGGAGAGAATGCTGGACCAAAAACGTAGAAAAATTGTTTTAAATCTGGGTACACTTGGTACCTAGGTACATCACTAGTATCATGCTCATTTTGTACCCAATATCTTGAAGGCACCTGTTGCGCCTGTCACGCCAACACCTTCAAAGCTTAGGCCGGTTTGCAGATATTTTACAAGTTTTCGCATGTTGATGTCTGTATTATGACAACGAACGACTGACCGCGACATGCGGCGGCGACCCATCGATCGCGGAGTCCTCCCAAGGCCGCTCAGAGGGGTATCAGAGCGGTAGCGATGTGGCACTCTGAGGTGGTCCTGACAAGGCATTCGTTCTCGTCCTCATAAGAGCATCCTCTGCGATCATGGTTTGAAACGTGTGAGATAAATAAAGACTACCACTGTTTTTATCACGTTTGCCTCTTAAAAGTTATTCGAAAACCACTGCATTCCTTGATTGTAGGAGAAATACGGTAGTCACTCTTGAGTAAAACGTGAGTTAACTTTGGTTTGGGCCACCTTGTGTGAACGGTAGTGTCGCACAGACGTTGCTTATTTCACCTTTCTACGACTTTTCCGATTTTTTTACCTCCAACTTCTTCATCAATACCGAGTGCTCGTTTCTCGAGTACTGACGTGATCGTAGAACTTCGGATCGACGACAGAACTTTACGATGAAAGCTTAACGTCCCGCAATGCTCGGCATGGTTCATCCTGTCCTGTGACGTTACCTCATTGTTAACGCTTGTTTGCGTATTGACGTAATCTACGCATCTAGAAGCACATTTACTAAACAGAAATTCTACTGTCTAAGCAGTCTTTTCTACTAAAAAGTATAACACCAGTTATAACTGAGCTTGATGTCTCTTATCCTTCGCTTATTTCAATATTTTTCAGTTGTGAAGCATTTCCTTAAATGACGCCGTTGAAGCCACTATCACCTGGAATGCTGAGGGCCGATTATTTTCAACACGGCGACACTACAACAAAATATGCGATCGTTTTTCATGTAACCTCCAACACGGGTCAAGTCGCTGGCCACGCATGCTTTTAGACGACCACTATGGAGACCCACTTGGAAAGATTGCAGCTGTTGGCGATTGATAATTGTTGCTTCACTTAGTTTATTCTTTCTTCTACATCGGCACAATATCACTCTGTTCTTTAGTTACTAAGAATCTGAACCAAATCTGACTAAGCGGTTTGGTACTTCTGTTATTGCTTCGATAAAGAGATGGTGCCGAAATATCGACGCATCTGTTTCTCCATTATCCCGTTTTTTCAGAGAAATAAAGCCATTACTTCTGTCTAATGTACGTGAATAATGTTCCTCGCTAATGCACTGAACAACTTACGTAATCGTAAGTGGCGTCGTGTTCATCGATGAAAAAGGCCGGTAATAAGGTCCTTTTTCTGTGAATTACACCTTATTTCGAGCTCCTCACCAAAATAGAGCTTCACGTTGCACTGAAGCGGGAAGTCATTCCTCCGCAGCGAAACAATTTTCGCATCCACGGCATATTTTAAAAAACTAGTTTGTTTCTTTAGAATCGGGAACGCAAATTAAGGTGGCAGAAATCTGCGGCGAAATCAGATTTTGGGGAAAGGTAAGGTTAGTCTTATTGGCTCAGTCCCCCTCCCTCACCTAACGATGTTGGGAAGTGGCCCGCTGGTTACCGTTACATGCGAAAACTGCTGACTTGGCAGTATTGCTTGAAGTATGGGCAGACTGCAATTGTTGGCAGGTGCGCTTGGCTTAGTTTATTTTTTCTTCCACATTGGCACAATGTCATTCTGTTCTTTAGTTACTAAGAATCTGAACAGAAAACCTTTTTCAGGTCCTGGCTCTTTCATTCACAACTAAATGTTGTTATACTGGCGCAGCTTCGCAGTCGTAGGAACAGGTGCGACAAAAATATCAAGAGTAACCAACCACAATTCAGCGGGCAAACACGTCCCTAATGCTGCGGAAGTACCGCGGATTTCTGGTTGGTGCGGGCCAGAGATCGGCGATTCCAAGCCATTAACGCTCGTTACAATGTCGTCTTCCTCTGACGGAGTGGCCAAGTTTCATGGGTGGACGATTCACATTGCGACGAGCGTTATTAGACCTGGCAGGAAAATGTCACTTCTCCGCGAACGCCAACGCTGTGCTAACATATACTAGTTGTATCATTCAATACGCAACAATTTGTACACGAATGAGACTGGCGAGAACTTCTTCGCAGATACCTAAACGATTGTAAGAAATGCTGCAGACAGAACTAACTCCATGCAGTTGCTGCAAACATTTCAAGATGTTCCGTTGACTGTCATCTCGTAAATATGATGGTTAATTCCTTATCCCTCACACTACATTCAGAAACCCATTTTTGAAGTACAATCCAGATTTAGTTTTTCAGCAGTCTCTTTAAGATGAGTCATAGTTTCAGATATTGGAATGAGTGAAATTCAACAGTTTCACTCAGTGTTCGTTCATAAAAATGAATGTTTGGAGATTTTGAGACCCTTGTGGTGTCCCATATATTATGATCAAGCCAGGTATGTAGAACTTCAATTAACATGAGATCCCTCTACGTTAGCGATTACATAAAAGAAAGTTCCGTCAGGTTTGTTAAAGCTTCTGTTTTGACAGTAATAATATTATAAGGTTGTACCTGGAATACCATTGATAATATGCTATGTATTATATCTTAGTATTAGCATCCATGATATTTATAATGTTGTAGTTATCATATATCGAATTAGCCTTGTTATACATCAGTAACGATCTTGTAAGATTGTACCTGGAATGAAAAATAAGGTTAGCGGACTCGTGCGTGCTTTTTCGGGAACACCCGCCTGGCGGGGCGGGTGCGGGCTTTCGAATTTGGGTGTGGGACGGGTGAGGGTGTTTCGAATCCAAAAAAGTGGCAGCTTTATCCCGTGCGTATGTGCGTTACCATCATGCAGCTCTACCATGAAGGGGTTGAGATGTCACCCTGCAAGACGACTGCGCAGAAGGTACTTTGCCTTACCGCTTCATGTCGCGCTTTGTGGTAAGGCTTTAGTCCACGCGGTCCGACCACCAACCAAAGGCTCCGCCCACAGCTTTCACGCTTCGTCACGTGACATGACGTCATCGCAGGATAACCCATCGGCAGGTGTCGCGTGCTCCGCGCCAGGCCGCGTGGTCAAGGGCAGACGTTCGGTGACGGCGCCTCTTCAGCAATGATCTGTTATGCCGCAGGTCCTTTCGTTGGCATGGCAGTCCTTGTCAGGAGGCCAAAACGCCTTTAATTCATTTCAGTTATTAATTCGTGTTTTCATGCAAGCTGCTATAGCTATTTTGCAGCTACTTATCCAGAAGGGACGATTGATTTCTGTATTATTGGGGGTGCCCAGCAAAGACGCGGCATATCGGCGTATATTGCTTCATGCATTACAGCGGCAATTTGACCTGTGACACGTGAGAGTCACTGGCCTGTTACGTCACAAAAGTTTGGGTTAGGTAGTTGAAGACCTCCGTATGATCTATTCGGTGCCGCAACTCACCCATGAGTCTTCTTTCCGTGGGACATATTTAGTGATGGCTGGCCCGTGTCAAATGAAGGATTGCGCGTGATGTGCGCCCACTCCCCACCCACCGCCCAATGCATGACTCGAAAGGCAGGGGGTGATGAAGGGCGCACCAGCAGAAACTAATCACGGCCATCCCAAGCCGCACGGCGCCCACTTTGATCAGGCCAGAAGGCTGCCCACCGACCTAATCCAGCTGTCGACGGTATTAATTGGAAATCAGGCCGGTGAGTGCGCACGTCATCCAAATAGACATCGACGACGCCTGGAACTTCCCTGACCTGGCGAGCTCGCGCTGAGACAGCATTTATGATGTTTCCGGCCAGCCATGGTGAACAGCGGCCAGTTTAACATCAATTGATATGGCTATATGCTGACAAGCCAGCGCATAGGCCTTTTATTTTGGGTCAAAATTCGCCTGATTTAATGTTCTTTGACTTGCTATATAGGATAGCTTCTGGTGTTCATTTTTAATTCATTTGTAACAGGAACGGCATGATACATCTACCGTGGATTTCGTAAATGTTAAAATAGTCGACATTTTTGGGGAACATACTGCCTAGTCTAATCCTTGACGCTAGTTCAAATGCAAAGATCAAAGCAGCCTTGTGTTATTTTGAGCACCATGACCATCAAAAGGTCAAAAAAGGTCACCGACCGTAAATGGGCACCAGTGACCTTTGCCTTAGAGGTATCAGGGTTCACTGTGGTTGCATGAAAAGGTTTGGGGTACTTCAGGTACAAATCAGAAGTTCTACCTTAGTTGACCTTATTTGACCCGTAGTTTACGACCTAGGACCCTCAAATTTTCACACAAGTGAGTTACTGTACGGGCCAACACCCTCTGTTAATTTGGTGTCCTTGGCTTTCTTTGTTTCTAAGATCTGAGCAGGGTCAAATTGACCCCCACCCGTGCGAAGGGTATTCAACCGGCGACGTGGACGCATGTTAATCCCACTGTCAAGAAATCTTGGAATAAATGCAGACGATTTCGACAAACGAGACTTCAGATTGATGATTGCGTGTTTAAAGGCCTTAATAGCTCTTCTGAGTAGGTGCAAACGTTATTTGAGCCCGTCATTTGTCGTCGCCAAAAGATGCAGTGCGTGGTCGAAATCGTTTAAATTATCTTGTCTACCGATTGAAGTTGCATACAATCAGGAGAAATGTACTTGCAATATCTATGTTTGTTCTTACTGCTCGCGTACATTTAACACAAGGAATTGAGCGCACTTATATATCCCACTT